ATTTTCCAGGTGGGAATACTGGAGTGGGTTGCCATTTCCTTCTCCAGGAGATCTTCCGAACCCAGGGATTGAACTTGGATCTCCTGCATTGCAGGTAGATTCTTCACCGACTGAGCTACCAGGGAAGGTTCTAGATAAAAGGACCATTGTGTTTTGTTTCCAAAAAGGATCACAGAAACATCCAATGAGTGTGGAAAATAGAGGATTCTTCTATTATTCTCTTATACTTCATGAAAGACAGGTCCATGGATTTAGCTGAGGAAAAGGAAGTGATTTTTAACATCGCTGTAATTATTCTGACCATTCACATTTATAAAGTGTCTTTTCGTTTAACCTAATGCAGCGACCTACATTAGTGAAAAAGCAACCATCACAAGCAAAATAGTGCTAGGGAGGGGAAAGGGCATCAAGGCAGATCTCCGTTTTGCCCCCAGTGTGAGAAAGTTGTGGCAATGATTTGTGAGGGTGTCAGTGTCAGACTCTGGACGAGACATTCCTTAGGTCACTCTATGGGTCTTTCGAGACTTTAAAGACAGCAGTAGAAAATGAAGAGGAGAGCTTTTGACATTTGTATTCCGCATTTCTGATGTGCCAGGGGGTCTGATGATTGCTCCCTGACCCTGAGAGAGATGAGTGGGTGACTTCACTGCCGTCATTGCCGGTGAGGGGCTAGAAAGGTCCGCTCGCGCTTCTGACTCTGCATCGGCAGTGGGCTTTATATGAGCACTGAGTTATGCAGTTAATTATGCAGCTTTCTTACCCAGCTTTAAGAGATGATTGAATGATTATCAGGGAGTTTTTTCTCATGTAGTTGAGTCAAAAACTAATAAGGTTGAGTTGACCCATCTGCAATTTCCTGTAGATTTTATGGAGAATGAGGAAAGAATTACACTTTATAATTTGTTCTTTTTTTGTTAGAGATTTTCTTTTCAGATTTACTGAGGTATAATCGACAAATTAAAATTGTAAGCTATTTAAAGTATACAACATGATGGTTTGACACACATATAATTTGTGAAAGAATTTCCCCCATTGAGTTAATTAACACGTCCGTTACCCTTTACATATTTACTCTTTTTGTGAGAACACTTAAGTTTTGCTTTCTTTTGTTGTTGTTCAACAACAAAAGTCACTCAGTTGTATCTGACTCTTTGTGACCCCATGGACTGCAGCACATCAGACTTCCCTGTCCTTCACCATCTCCTGGAGCTTGCTCAAACTCATGTCCATTGAGTTGGTGATGCCATCCAACCATCTCCTCCTCTGTTGTCCCCTTCTCCTCCTGCCTTCAATCTTTCCCAGCATCAGGGTCTTTTCTAATGAACTGGGTCTTTGCATTCGGTGGCCAAAGTTTTACTTTCTTAGCAGAGTTCAATTATACAATAAAGTGTTATCAGCTACAGTCACTGTGTTATATATTTGATCCTCAGACCTTATTAATTTAATAACTGAAAGTTTGTACCATTTTATTAGACTCTCCCTATTTTGCCCACCCTCAGGCCTTGGCACTCACCATTCTATTTTCTGTTTCTGTGAGATCACCTTTTTTTCTTTTTTTTTAAGATTCCACATATCAGTGGTACCATGCACTATTTGTCTTTCTCTGTCTGGCTTACTGCACTTAGAATAATGCCCTGCTTGTTCATCTAAATTGTGGCAAATGGCAGGATTTCCTTCTTTTTAAAGGTTGAATAATATTCCACTGTATATATGTATATCATATTTTCTTTATCCATTCATCCATTGCTGGATACTTAGATTGGTTCCATATTGGCTACTGAGAGTAACAGTGTAATCAAAAAGAGAATACAGATATCTTTTCAAGATAGTGATTTCATTTCCTTTGGATATTTGCCCTGCAGTGGGATTGCTGGATCATATGGCAGTTCTAGTTTTAATTTTCTGAGGAATTTCCATGCTGTTTTCCATAGTGGTCGCATCAATTTATATTCTCACCAACAGTGTCTAAGGGTTCTCTTTTCTTCAAATTCTCGTCAGCACTTGTTCCTTGTCTTTTGATAACAGCCATTTAAAGAAGTGTGAGTTGCTATCTCATTATGGTTTTGATTTGCATTTTGCTGATGGTTAGCAATGTTGAGCACTTTTTCATGTACCTGTTGGTCATTTATGTCTTTGGACAAATGTCTGTTCAGGTTCTCTGCCCAGTTTTTAATTGGGTTCTTTGGTTTTCTCTGCTCTTGTGTTGTATGTGTTCTTTCTATGTTTTAGATTGTAACCCCTTATCAAATTTGTGGTGTGCATGTATTTTCCCCCCATTCTACAGATTGCCTTTTCATTTTTTTGGTGACATCCTTTGCTGTGAAGAAGCTTTTTAGTTTGATTTAGTCCCACTTGTTTATTTTTGTTCTTGTTGCCTTTGCTTCTAGTGCCAAATCAAAAAAAATAATTACCAAGGCTAATGTCAAGGATATTTTCCCCTAAGCCTTTTTATATGAGTTCTATGGCTTTTGTTGTTGTTGTTATATTCACTGGCTTGTTGTATTTTTTTAGATTCCACCCATAAGTGGTATCATATAGTATTTGTTTTTTTCTGAAGACCTCCCTTTAGCATCTCTTATATGTCTAGTGGTGATGAACTCCTTCAGATTTTGTTTCTAAAATTCTTTCTCTCTCCCTCAATTTTGAAGAACAACTTTGCAGGGTAGAGTTTTCTTAGTTGGCAGTTTTTTCTTTCAACAGTTTGAATATATCTTCCAACCTGCTTCTGGCCCACCAAGTTTAAAACTGTTTCATTGCTTGCGATGGTCCTGTAGGACCTGTGAATGCAAGCCTCATTGGCTATCAGAGTTGGGTAGTTTGGGGGCCTGTCCCTCAGGGAGAAACTGCAAAATCTAGGGTGCCAGATGTGTGTGCAAACTCCTTCTGGACAGATGCTGGCAATCTCGTTTTATCAATGGAGTGAATTGAAGGCAGTAGGTAAGGGAAGTGCCCATCAGCTCCCATGGGCTCCAGGGAGGATCTCATCTAGCCCCGGGATATGTGCTAAACTAGAAGCAGGGTCTCCAGGCATCAACTTGTAAGTGTGGAGGCAGACCCTCTCTAGAGGGAGACTAGAGACATGACTTTTTGCCTACTTCCTCTGCACTGAGCCCCAGATGGTTAGCTATACTGAGTGTTCATGTACTCTGTAAAGAAATAATGCTTCTTTGCTTGCTATAGTCCTGTGGGTCTCATGGATGCAAGCCCTGTGGGGTTGCATTTGGGGGAAACCAGCCCTCAGGTGGAAGTCTTTAAACTTGGAGTGCGAGATGTGCAGTCTAACCAATTTGCTCCTCATGGAGAAGCTTGGGGTTGAGGATTTCCTCCTGAATGTATGATGCTGTGATAGGGGTGAGGAGAGTGTGTCTCAGCTTCTCTTGCTTGTTTCAATGTAGCTTTTTTTGGCTACACCATTCAGCTTGCAGGATCTCAGTTCCCTGACCAGGGACTGAAGCTGGGCCACAGCAGTGAAAGCCTGGAATCCTAACCACTAGGCCACCGGGGAACTCCCAGTATGGCTGTTTTCTTATTTGCCTAATGTGTAGGCGTCATTCAGCTGGTTTCAGGATTTCTCCCAGAGGGAGTTGCTCTGCGTGTATCTGCACATTCACTGCACCTGGGGGAGGACGGAAGTTTAAGAGCCTCCCACGTTAGCATCCTGGTCACAAAAGGGAACAAACCAAAACAAAACCCCCCCCCCCCCCCCCCCCCCCGCTCCCCTGCCCATTGAGGAAAGAAGAGGGAAAAGAGAGACAGAGGAAAAAAAGAATCATTCAAGGTGACCTGGGTTGGAAGACTCAGCCTTTAAGAATCAGAATCAACTGTTTCTTGGTCGTTTGCCTTGTAACCTTACATACTCAAGCGTTAAGACTTAAGGATCCTATATACATCCTTACAGGAAGGATGTAGCATCATTTCTAATCCTGTAGTCTATCACTCTTCCTCCAGGATCGACTCAAGACCTTATTACACATTACATTAAAGCTTTCTTTTACCTCATTGTGATGTTGTCAGCATAGAGCTCAGCCAACCTAACCAAGATCACTTGGGGGCATAGCACAGGAAGGAAGATGAATGTAATTCATCTTTTTTCCTTTTGCTAGGTGCAGATGAATTAATTATAGTTCCCAGATAATGATTGCCTTTTGCTTAAAATAGTATCAAAATTTCCACCCAAGTCTTCTATGAATAGAAGCAATTTAACTTGACATTAGGATAGAGCTTTGGGGTCTGGAGATGACACAGACTTCCTCTGATTCTCTGGGAGGAGTCATCAGCTTGGGTTCTCAGTCTTTAGTTTTTTCCTCCATAAAATGGGAATGAAATATGCTTCATTCGTTTCAGGAGGTTTTAGGGGATTTCTTTGAAAACGATTTAATACAATGAGCAACTCAAATGGAAGGCATGGGATGCAAGAGAATTCTGGGCAAGAAATCCATTTAATATGAATGAGCTATTTACTGGGTTATTTAGATAAGATACAGAATGATCTTTAGGCTCAGAATTGGAACCATCTCTAGGCCTGTCTTTCAGAAAAGCTATACTTCGTTTCTACTACTGGCAACTTACAGGTAGAAGACTGATTCTTGGCCCTGCTCTGAGGTTTGAAAAATGTTGGAGTCTCACCTTGGAAGACTAGAGGTGCAGATGGTAAAGAATCTGCTGGTAATGTGGGAGAGCTGGGTCTGATCCCTGGGCCAGGAAGCTCCCCTGGAGAAGGGAGTGGCTACCCACTCCAGTATTCTTGTCTGGAGAATTCCACGGACAGAGGAGCCTGGAGGGCTACAGTCCATGGGTTCCAAAGAATCGGGTACAACTAAGCGACTCACACTTTCATCTGAAAGACTAATTTTACCTATAAGGACACTTCTGCTCTTTAGGTTAATTCTTGTATTATTTTTGTAAGAAGAGGCTGGACATTTACCTCTAGGTGAAAATCACTGCTTTGGTGTATAGTTTTCTCATAGAATAACCGACATCTTTATTTTTTTTACCTGCAGGCAAAACTGTGTGGAGTTTTATCCAATATTCATAATCACATTGTGGATGGCTGGATGGTATTTCAACCAAGGTAAATTTAAAAGACAACTCTGTTCTCATGACGACTGTGATCCTTACAGCCATTAAGTAGCAGATATTCACCTACACATCTACCGATCCTGGAAATTGTTTTAAGCAAAAGAAGCACTGTCTGTTTGCCTCAAAGAGCAGTATGCTACAGATAGGCTAACTTTGGCTTCATTTCAATTTAATTCGGTGATTTTTTTTTTTTAATAAAAACTTGGAACAAACCAGATGTGGGGGACTCCAGAATGAAAATGACATGTGATTTTGTCTTCAAGTCTAATACTCTATAAATTCTAATTTATCTGTAGGAACAGAACACAGAACTAACAGTTCACCCTAGTTATTATAGCTAATTTTTATTGAGTATTTTCTTCATGCCAGGTACTGTTTTTTTTTTAATTAATTGGCTGCTCTGGGTCTTGGTTGTGGCATGTGGGAGCTCCTCTCTAGTTGTGGCACGTTGGCTTCTCTTGTTGTGGAGCACAGGCTCTTGAGTAGTTGCGGGCTTTAGTAGTTGTGGCATGCAAGCTCAGAAGCCTTGATGTATGTGGAATCTCAGTTCCCCAGGAATCAAACCCGTGTCCCCCGCATTGAAAGGCACATTCTTAACCACTGAATCACCAAGGAAGTCCCTGCCAAGCTTTGTTTTTAAGTGTCACACATATATTATCTCATATGTAGCACTTAAAGGATTAAAAACCTTCTTATGAGGTAGGTTCCATAATTGCTGCTTTATAGGTGAGGAAACTGAAGTACAGAATGGTTAAGTCTTTTGTCCAACTTAGCTTTCACCAGTTTAGGAGAAAATTAGCTTTCAAGTTCAGAGCAGGGTTCATAGGTAGTTGACCAACAACCCATGTGCTTTTTCTTAGGAGTTTCCAAGAATGTGGTCTACTGGATTTAGAAACTTTGTAAATATCTCTTTTCTATTTGAATGGGAGAGCTGAGGCCTTTACCCAAACTCTGCCTAGCCCTTTCACAGGTCAGATTAACACCAACTACCTTTTTGGAGAAATTCAATCTCTCTTCTCTCTGATAACTCTCATGGCCTCATTTGTGTTTGACATTTGATTGCTAAGATTTAAATCAACCAAAATTTAACTGCTTTCCAAAGGCAGTTAAACCCTGTCACCTCCCCTCTTATAATTTTTTTTACTGTCAACTGAAAAATTTCAGTTAAAATATCTTTCAGAGAAAGGCTTAACTCTATTCCAATTCACCTTTTTTTTTTTTAATCCCTTAAGGGCAAGAAGGGTAGTTTCTTGTCAGGTGAGAGCACGTTCGCAACTAATAAGAAAAGAGCCTTTTGGTAGTGGCACCTGGCCTGTGCTGTTTGACCCTTTGGATTTCACTGTGATGGGCTGAATGAGGCTGACTGCCTGTCAGGGAAGGGTGTCTTGGGTATCTCGTTGTAATTTTCATTCTTTCTCATCCAGAGTTAGGTGGCCCATTAATTGCCTTGACCAGTTCTCATTGACTTTGTGGGAGTAGTTGCTTAGAAAGGGAGTTTCGAGAACCATGGTGTGCCCAAGATCTCTCCCCTTCCTCAGAGGCCAGGTGGCCCTGCCAGCCCTTCTCCTCCAGCTCTTTGCCGGACCCACTCCTTCTCATCCTTCAGGGCCCAGCGCAAACATCATCCCTCAGAGGGCCTTCCCTGACCCCTTCCTAAGGTGGGGCCTCCCAGCTCGCCCTGGCCCATCGCCCTTTGTTTCCTTCACAGCATGTTCAAGTCTGTCCTTTTCTTCTCATTTTCCCCTTTGTCTTTGCTGATGAACCCATAAGGGCAGGGAGCTTGTGTCTTTTTTACTGCTAACCTCAACTCTTAGAATAAGGATACTTGGAATGTAGTAGAAACCAAAAAAAAAAAAAAGTTTGTGACCTAATAAAATTATGAATTTAATTTTACCTATCCTATCAGAGTCCCACAAACAGACTTCTAGTCTTTTCAAGAGGACTCTGGCAATTTGCATCTGTGACTTGGTGAGGAAAAGAGAAGGTCCCTAGTACAAGAAAGATACTGAGATTTTGTTTCCATTGGACAAGATGGCAGAACATCACCCTGCATCTCACATTTCTTTTAGGTAAGATTTATAGTTAGTTAAATGCACAAATCTCAAGGGCACCATTTAATGAGTTTTGACAAATGTATAAACCGGTGTCACTCAGATCCCTATCAAGATGTGGAACTTGACTACCACTCAGAAAGTCTCCTCAGGTTCTTCCCTGTCCCTTGCCCAGAGGCAAACAGTGCTCTGATGTTTTTCATCATAGTTTAGTTTTGCCTATTTTAGAACTTGCCATAATTGGAATCATATAGTATGCACTCTTATATAAGGCTTCATTCACTCAGCAAAATGGTTTTGAGATTCACCATGCTGTTGCAAGTTGTCTATTTCTTTTCATCGACAGTGGGGTTCCGTATTGCATGGTTATCACAGTTCGCTTATCCATTCTCCTGGGGATGGATTCCCAGCTGTTTCCAGTGTTGAGCTGTTATGAATAAAGCTGCAGTGATTATTCTGAACAGGTCTTTTTATGGATATGGGCTTTTATTTCTCTTGGGTAAATACACAGGAAAGGAAGGACTTGCTGGGTCAAAAAGTAATGTTTGGTGTTTTAAGAAACTACCAGATCTTTCCCCCAAGCGGCCGAACTGTTTTGCATTCCCACCAATAATGTATGAGGATTCCAACATCCCCAACATTTGTGCTGTCAGTCTTCTAAAAATTTTGCCATCCTGGTAGGTGTGCAGTTGTATCATCTTGTTATGGCTTTATTTTTATTTTTAAATGAGTGGGAACATTTTTTTGTTTTTGTTTAAATTTATTTGGCTGCACGGGGTCTTAGTTGCAGCATGCAGGATCTAGTTCTTGAGCAGGGATCAAACACCAGCCCCTTGTATTGGGAGCACGGAGTCTTAACCACTGGGCCACCAGAGAAGTCCCCTCACTGTGGTTTTAAATTGCAGTTTTGCTGACATCAAATGATGTTGAATAATGTTGAAAAATTTTTCACATGCTTATTGGTACACTTGCTTATATTGCTATGTGAATTTTCTATTCAAGTATTTTACCCATTAAAAAATTGTTTTTCTTTAATTATTGAATTGTCTTGAGTCCTCTATATATTCTACACACAAGTCTTTTGTCAGATACACGTTTTGTGAGTGTTTTCTCAGTTTTCACACCACATTTTGAGAGTCTGCCATCATGTTCTATGTCTTTGCTTTTTTTTTTTTCTCTCTAGTTTTTGCTACTTGTCTGGGTCTGGTGTACCTCTATTCCCGTCACCAGTATTTCTGGGGATATGCAGAAGCTGCTAAAAAAAGGTAAGGAGCACCCAAGAATTGTGTATTTAGACAGAATGTAGCAGGATGGTCTATGTTAGCTTCCTGTTCTTGAAGTATAGCACTGATGGCTGTGATGACAAAAATGAGGTATGTTGCCTACCCACGGCCAGATCTCACCCAGGCCTACACACGTAGGTGTGAGGCAGAAAACTGTGCTCCAAGTGTGCACTCTGACCACTGCACTTTAAATCCTTGCCAACATTTTGCACTATCTCCCAAAAGTCTCCAAGGAAATAATCCTGCCCAGCCTTGATAATCCTTTGAATGTTCAAAGGAGCTAGGCATCTTCTTTAATTTATTTGATGAATCAAAATGTTCAGATGGCAACAGCATAGTAGTTCTGGGCAGTGTTCATAGGCGAGGTCTGCTCCAGGCTCCCCAGCTTCCTCCCCGTAACCCTGTTTATTCATCACCTTTGTCTCTCACATCTGCCCACAGGATCACTGGTTTCTGGCTGAGTCTGGGGGTTTTGGCCTTGTTGACTGTCCTAGGTGCCGTGGGGATTTTGAACAGCTTTCTGGATGAATACCTGGACATCGATATTGCCAAGAAACTGAGGCACTTCTAACATTTCTCCTTCCTTTGTGCAAATGCTTATAGGAGATGTTCCACTCTCAAGGTTAGATGGTGCCACTTGTTCCATTAAAAGAAATAAAATTCTCTCTTCTTATTTGAAATGGCTTTATAGAAACATACCTTTTAGATTTCCTAAAATTTGCTCTGAGGGGAAATATCCTAACATCAGTGGATGTGTGCTGAGCCCTGGTTTTAGAAGCACATGCTGAAGTCATGGCTGCTCATGTGGGCAGAAAGCAACCTGACCTGTCTGTGTCTGGGGCTTTCCATGGACCACCACTATCGCTTGCCTCGAAGACTGCTTCTTTCATGATGGGGAGTTCCAGACAGGTGCTGAAAAGGCTCTGAGCCCACTTCATTGGTTGCAGGAATGCCACAGATGGTGGAGGAAGTCAGCAAACACATAAAGTAGCCGGAGAAGAGAGTCATGAACTAATAGCACAGAACACAGCTGGCTGTGAAAACGGACTTTACAAAGTTAAAAAGAGAAAAAAAAATCCGTCGTTTTCAGGAAACCATCCAGAGATGAGTGCCTGGGGAATAGCTTGCCCCCGGATAGGGAGAGGGAGGTGATGGCCATGGCCGGAGAGCCTAGGCTGGGTCCCACTGCCCGTCCTCTGTCCCGTGGGGCTGGGGGCCTGCTGCAGGGCCCACGAGTCTCGGACCCTCATGTGCAGTCACGGTCTGGCCCGAGACTGATCACCTTCACTTTCCTCATCTGTAAGATGGGCACGAGTCTTCAGGAACTGTAGGGAAATAGAATTATGAGCATATATACCACTTTTTTAGTATCAGGAGAACTCTGTAATTTTTCTAAAGAAAGTGACAGCCTGAATCTTCAAGCAGCTTTTTATTAGGACTTTTTTGGTATATGGGTACAAAGGCAGTTACAGAGACTATGAGTAATAGAGAAAAATAAAGGCATTAGAACACTAGCGTTTCCAGAAGAGTGGGGAGAAGACATGACCACCTCTTGCGTCCCAGAGGGCAGTGTGAGTAGCCCAGAGCACGTTGAGAACCATCAGCCTGGGATCACTAGCTCTCTGACTCTGGCTAAGGCAGCTTGCAGTGGAGGTCGTGTAGCCAAGACGTGGAGACCCCAGAGCCAGTCAACGCTAATCCTGTTCCACTACTCGCTGGCTATCCTACCGCAGCCCTGGTAGCTCTCTGCCTCAGTTTTTTCCCTCGGGTAAAATGGGACTGACATCTTACAATGCTGTGATTCTATGGTCTTTTTACTTTTTAGTATTCTGATCATTTATAGTGACTCGTATTGTGACATTTTAATTGTTTTGTGCATTGAAGACAATGAAGGAAGAGAGAGAGCAAATTTTTGACCTGAAAGCACAATTTCTGCAGACTCATGTCCTTTGGAAGTGAGAAAAAACCCACAACTTTTCCACATCTTACTCTCCAGGGTTTTTAAACACTTTGAATTTTGCATTTAAATTGGAACTGTTTAAATATGCAAACTGAACACACACACACACACACAGACATACAGACAAAGTTTGGTTAAACCATACATGTAGAAAATGAAGACCAGCCCACCAGTATATCAAACTTTGTATCTTTATAGTATCTGAACTATAGAACTTATTCCCTTTGTTCTAATTCTGTTGTCACCAAGGCAACCTCTTGATGATTTTAATTCGTATAAATTTGGCTGCAGGGAGTAAATGTGCTGGCCAGGGAGATGTGAGTTTCTGATATGTTTGACATACATATTTGTTGTGTATTAGTAAGTTGACTGATTTTATTTCCTTTTGTTTTTTGCTGTGTGGTGCATGTGGGATCTTAGTTCCCCAACCAGGGATCAAACCTGTGCCCTCTGCATTGGAAGTGCAGAATCTTAACCACTGGACTGCTAGGGAAGTCCCTGTTTTGTTTTGTTTTTTGATTTTATTTTTAGAAATCAGATTCCTTGCCTCAGAAAATCAATGTAATAAACAAAGGGAGAAGAACTTTTCTCTATTAATAGAGCCTTCAAAAGGCATAAAACCCAAATGGTGATGTGGGGTCCTTGATCAAAGCCTAGTTAGAAAAAAAAATAGCTATGGGAGACATTTGGGACAATTTGAATAAGGAATAAGAATTCAGTATTAGGGAATCATGTCTTCAGTGCTATAATATTGTTATGGCTAGGGAAGAAAATGCCCTAATTCTTTGGCGTTGTATGCTGGGAGGTTGTGGGGTGAAGTGACCGGTTATGTATAGCTTCGTTTGAAATTGTTCCACAAAATACATATGTGAAGCGTATATGACGAGGTGTTAATAAGTATCAAATTGAGTTGCCAAGTGTATAGCTCTTCATTGCATTATTCTATTTTTTCTGCCTGTTGGAAAAGGTTCATAACAGAAAAGTTGAAAATTCTGAAGCAAAGTTAAAAGCTAAAGTCAGGTTCTTGGTAGCTTTGTAGATTTTTTTTTTAATGTTGAGTGCCGTATGCTTGACTTGGGATTAGTGTTAGGAATAGAGCCATAGCATAAGTTGTAGTCGGCAGCTGTCCTGGACATGGCCCAAGTGTGTGAGTGCTGTGGGCTAAGTCACGTCAGTCATGTCGGATTCTGTGGGACCCTGTGGACTGTAGCCCGCCAGGCTGTCCATGGGACTCTCCAGCGAATAATACCAGAGTGGGTTGCCCCATCCAGGGGATCTTCCCCACCCAGGGATCAAACCTGTGTCTCTTATGTCTCCTGCATTGGCTGGCGGGTTCTTGACCACGAGCACCACCTGGGAAGCCCCAAGTATGTGAGTGATGCCCTAATTACCTCTGCTTGTTATGAAATGAGACATGTGTCTGTGGTAACTTGTCCAGAGGACAGCAGCGTGAAATCTAATGTCCTCACAAGTTACAAAGGAGTTAGATAAAGGACTATTTACACGAACAAGCAGCCCTGCTCTCTCCCACGGTATTTTTCCTCCCCTTCTTTTCTTTGCAGGATTGGTGGATGATGAGGTGTGGCTAAAATGTCATTATAAGGAAAAACATCAAGTCTTTGTTTTCTTTAACCCCATTTCTCTAGATATTAATAGACCCTTACTTGAAAAGATGGATTAAAGGCAGAAATAGCTCTTCTAATGCTTCTGAATGTTCCTTAACTTTCAGCAGTAAAATACTTCCTCACGGGAGCAGATTCCCAGTGACTTCTTGGAAAAATGTTTATTCTCTCCCTCCTCCTTCCCCTGTTACACACTTGCTATACTGAGATTTTATAAAGGTCAACATGAGTACAAATAAGAAATCATTTTAAAGGAGAAAGGGCAGTAAGTAAAAACATGTGGTTTTAACTAACCCAGACAAGGAGTACTCAACCCTTCTCAGGCTTCATGATTTATTCTGCTGTCAGCCTTTCCATCCCCACCCCCAAATCAGTTGATTTTTGACCACAAGTCACTAAGTCTATATTACTGGGACAAGGCCCAGTGTCACACAGTTTTTTCCTCCATGCTCTTATTTGTCAGCTGGTCTGGAACCACAGCCCACCACGGGTAGGGTTCAGTCCCTACCCATGGAAGGGACTCTTCTTCCATAGTCAAGTTCATTCCTTCTCTTGGTTTGTATGTATTAAAACTCACCTTTGGTTTGGATCTATTTTTGATGATGACCTTATTCTGTTCTTGTGGTCTCTTTTGCTTCATCCAGTTTTGACACGTGCTCTTTTACCATGCCTTTCAAAGTCTGATGGAAAGCCTTAGGTCAGGTCTTCTAGAAGTGGAGTGGATTCACATGTGAGTGATTTATTAATAAAGGGCTCCCTGGAAGGGGAAGCTGAGGGAGTTGGGGGGGGGAACAGGGCAGAAAAAGGCAAAAAGCAAGCACCTTCTGGGGAAGTCCCAACCTCTGCCAGCTCCTGCAGGGGAGCTTGGGACAGAAATTTTGTCTCAGGGCTTGTCTGGGCGAGTTAACTGGGCTTTCACGCGCCTGCTCCAGCAGGCCATTGGCTCAGTGAGTCTGGAGGGATGTAAACGTCTAAGCATGTTCAACTCTGTGGACCTCAGCTGCTGGCTGAGCCGGGCTCTGGTGGGAGACCGCCCTCCAAGAGCCGCAGCTGGGAGGTAAGGCACCCATGGTGTGTGTGTGCGTGCGCGTGCGTGACTACAGTGTCCGTTAAAGCGGGGCAAGGCCCACAGTTACTCTCCCACCTAATATATTCCTTGAGTTTTCTTCCTTCTCAAATGAAGCGTGCACGATCCGTTTTCCAAGTTCCCTGAGCGAACCAGGTAGAAGCTGAACTGTCACGGCTCTGAATCCCGGATGGATCCAGTATACGCCTTTCATAGGTGACTCTCTTTTGCCACATTCCCCTGGAGAGCAAATTTGGAACGCTTTAACAGTGTGGTGGAATTAAAAAGGCTGGGGATGACTTATCTCCACTGTTACTTAAATGTTTAAATAATGACATCAAAACTTCGAGACAAGAACTGCAGTTAATTAAAACCCAGGCTTAAAATGTTTATCTGCTTAATTAAGGCTGGAGCGCCTGTGCCAGTCCTAAAAGATACTTTTTTTTTTTTTTTAGAGCGATGTTTCTGTTTGTTTTCCTTTGGCCATGCTGCGAGGCTTGTGGGATCTTAGTTCCCCAATCAGGGACTGAACCCTGTGCCTCTTGGCAATCAAAGTGTAGAGTCCTAACCACTGGCCTGTCAGGGAATTCCCTAAAATAAACTAAACTTTGGATTGGTTCAGATAACGATCTTTTATTTTTTTTTTTCTTTAAAAGTGGTATGCCAACATCACTTCATTTCTACATTTCCAAGTTCTGTACATTTCTCAAAAGGAAAGAAGCAATGCTCAATGTACAAAGTAAAACCAGAAAACTAGAAAAATCTGAATCAAATGGAGAAAGTTGCCATAGATCATACAGTACAAATTAGTAATTTGATATCATCTGAAGTGCAATACCACTGCTGGGATGATGAGTTAAGGAATGAAATAAAAATACTCTATTTTAAACAAACAGTATATATATATTTATATGTATATTTTTTACAGATAGTAGACCCAGTGATATCTGTAGTATTGTAAAAACTTATTTACAAATAACTTTTTTTTTAGACATTACATATACATCAGCACCGTGGTAAAAACAAAAAACAAAACGAAGCCACCTTATTAAAATCTACCTCTCTATGTAGTTGGTCCCAGTACTGAGCATTCGGAGGAAGCTTTTAAGGGAGAACAGAGGCCCCCTTGCCCGCCTCCATCAGCCACCTCCAGTTCCTCATCATTGCTTATATATTTATTTCCTGTACCTTTCAGAAAAAGGTAATTATATATTTCTGTGTCTTCTCGTTTCTTCAATTTCTCTTGTTTGTTTTTGGTTTTCATCTGCTTCCATTTGAGAGCTCCCCTGGCGGTGGCCCTCCCCACGCAGGAAGTTCATGGTCAGCCCGCCACCACCTCTTCCCCCAGGGACCGCAGCCCCGACCTGGGTACTCGCCCACGTGGCCCCCGCTGGTCTCCAGGCTGCCCCTTGCCGAGGAGAGCTGTGACCTTGGTACTTGGCGAGCAGGCCCCGGGCAGTGTTCGCCTGCCTGCTGTCTCTCTACATCCTCTGTCCCAGCGCTTCATTTTTACCTGCTTCAGTCCCAGGACCTGCCCCCAGTGTGACTCCCCAGGCTGGGCAGGGGCTCTGGTGTGGCAAGTGACATGTGAGTGCACAGAAGCAAGCCTGCCTTTTGGACATGGAGGGAAGGGATGGCAGGAGAAAAGCTTATGCCACGCTCACTCACTTAGGACAAGAACTATGTTCCGTGGCCTCCAAAACAGGCCAGTGGGAGGGGAGGGGAGGGGAGGGCAGATGAGACCAGCCCTCCAGCAGCAGAGGCTGTGGATCCCTTCCAACAGACTGCACTTAGGACAGATCTGAGTGAATTACACAAAGAACAACTGTACAGAGCTTCAAGAGGGGGTTGCTTTGCTCAAGGAAAGGAACCATACCTTCCCTCTTTTCACTATCAAAATGTGTGAAGTGGAGCAATGGGTTTTTCAGTTCCTCAGCTTTCAGGGCTTGAGATTTGTCTTTCTGATGAGCAGGGATGAAGGGTCAGGCTGCTTTAAGAGCATCACCCCTGGGATTTTCCCCAAAGGGAACCAGAGCCAGTGATGTCCAGGCTGGTCCTCCCTAGTGTCCCAGAAACATCAGATGCAGCTCATGGAAACCCACCACCGAGCAGCAGAGCAACCTGTTCGGTTCCAGGCAGAGAAAGAAAAACTCCAGTGTGGCCTTTGCATTTCAGGCATTGTCTAAGTTCTTCTTGCTCTTATTTTCCCTCTGCCCAGGCTCCCTAAAGACAAAAGCTTCATTTCTTCTCGGATAGTCTGCAAGGACCAGCACAGGCAGGCTGGGGCGGCGGTGAAGAGGAACAGGGCAGGGACCAGCTTGGGGGAAGGGGCCGCACTGACAAGACACACAGTGTCCACCCTGGGCCTCCCCATCCTCGGCCTCCGGGAGCAGAAGGACCTGCTGAGACGTATCAGGTCGTACCGGGCCCCCAGGAAGCTCCAGGCCAACTCCCCGGAGTAATAGCCACCACGGTCATCAGCAGAGGGCTGCCCGCCCAGGACTGCCAGGACCCTTCTCCAAGCTCTAAGATTCCTGCAGGTCATCATGAGCAGGATACAGGCTGTGGGGTCTTCTGTCTTCCTGTGACATCTCACTGTTCTTTGTACCTTCCCTCCAAGCCCAGTAGCGTGTCTTGAAGGCTGATATCTCTCTGCAGCCAGAGTTCAGCGCGTATCTGACCTGTGCTCTTGGCTTGCGCCACCACCCAGGGGCTTCCGTGGGACTCTCGGCCCCAGGCTCTCTCCCCTCTGGGTCTCCAAAGCTGTAGACCCGGGCCAAGGCCAGGAGGCTCTGACGGCCACCTCACGTGGGGCAGCAGTCTGTCTTGGCTGCAGCGACTCTTGCTGGGCTGGGTAATCACAGGGAGTGCCAAGCTGAGGGCTTGGGAATCATCTTCCCTGCCCACCTCTGGTGTGTCCCCCTCTCTCACAGCAGGGTCCGCAGGGCGTCTGTCTCCACTGCTGTGTGAAAATCAGGTGAAACGGGGCCCGGCGGGGCTGTGGATTGGCGGCCTGGATCTTCCACAGTCAGCTGACTGCAGCTTTGCTCAGATCATGTGGGTCAAAAAAACAACACAAAAAAACAAGGATGCAGTGACATCCTGTTTCTTTTTCACGGTTGGAGCTTTAAACCACTGGAGCTGTGGTGGCCAGGGCCGCTCCTGACTAGGGGTTTCCAAACAATTCATCGAGCTCCTGCATCCACTCGTCCCCCGGCCCACCTTTGATGATGGAGTCCACAAGGTCAGCGCCGTCCGAGAGGCCGGGGAAGGACGCCCCGGCCGTGTCACCACTGTAATTGTACGACATGTCCTGAGGGGGGTTCCGCTCATAGGCTTGGCTCTGGCTGCTGGAGGCAAAGCTGGCGCTGGCCATCGGCTGCTGTGCCGGGGGCTGGCTGAAGGCTGGCATGCTAGGAACGCCCTGGTTCAGGCCTGACATGACCATGGGCCTGGCCTGGCCGGCGCCTTGCTGCCCCGGGAGCGGTGGCATCATCTGCCGACCCATGGCAGCCGGGTTGAGCGTTCTCACCCCGCCAGGGTTCGCATCCACCACCTGGCTCAGTCCCTGGGGGAAGTGCTGCTTGGTCAGCCGCGGTTGGCCGGCTTGCAGTGGGTAGCTGGCGCCATTGTTGAATGATGCTAACTCTCCACTAGTCCTCCCAGGCATCCCCTGTAAGCCTCTCTGCTGCCAGCTCTGGCTTCCCTGCTGGACCGTTCCCATGATGTTTTGCAGCCTCGGCGGGCCCTGGGGCCTGGGCAAGGCCTGGCCTACTGGCCCCTTCATCGGCTGGCGCTGCTGGGTCATGGGCGAGTTCACCAGCATGCCCTGACCAAACCCACTCACCATCCCAACCCCTTGCCCGGAGGTGGGCTGCCGCGGCCCCTGGGCTTGGCTGTGTGTGGTACTCATACCGCTTTGGTTTGGGTGCTGCAGCACTTGGGTCATGCCTGCGCTCATGTTGTACATTCCTGGTTGGCTGGTAGCTGTGTGGCTGTAAGGGGCCAGTCCCATCTCAGACTGGGCGGCCGCTGTGGCCATTGTCCCTGGGTTCTGGGAGGGTCCCATTCCCATCATGCCTGCGTTCTGTGCCATCAGCCGTGAAGTTCGCATGCTCTGGAGGGCGGCCTGGCTCCTCACAGCTGCTATATCCTGGGGAGACCCTGCAGAGAAAAAAGGACACACCTCTTCACTCATCTCCACAAGCGGAGCACAGTAACACGTAGCTGGACTTTTCTTTGGGAATGACAAAAATGCTTTGATTAACAGATGAAAGGATCTACCCTGATAATAAATCCTGAAAGAGAGATGATTATTTTTCTTACTATAACATACACTGATTTTGAAAATTTTGGAAAATAGGGAAAGCACAGAAATGAAAATGAAAGTCACCCAAATCCCCACCATCCAGAGATGACTACTGCTAACTTACCTTAACATATAAAAATACACATGAAAATTGGGATCACACAGTAGTTGACTTTTCTATTTGATATACCCTGATATTATTTTTGCTCCTATTACAGAAACAATTGTTTCTTTCCCTCATAGCTCAATCGGTAGAGAACCTGCCTGCAATGTAGGCGACCTGGGTTCCATTCGTGGGTCGGGAAGATCTGGAGAAGGAAATGGCAACCCACTCCAGTATTCTTGCCTGGAGAATCCCAGGGACAGAGAAGCCTGGCAGGCTACAGTCCATGAGGTTGAAAGAGTCGGACATGACTTAGCGACTAAACCACCACTTCTTTATATGATCCTCAACCAATAAGATAGCATCTTTTGGAGGTGAGAGGAAATTCACCTCCCAAGCTAAATTAAGAAGAATGGTGGCTCACTTTGCACATCCTATTTGTGATGTGGAATATGGCTCAGTAGAGAATACTATCAATAAAGACCATTAGACTAATTTCCCTGAAGATTTGAGCAGGATTTGAGAGGTTAAAGGCCCCTGCTTCGGCTAAGAAGCTATTTTGACAGATGGGACATTGTTTGGATCCCCTCTATAGATTTCCACATGCTCCAGATTCTCTGAATCACAACATGTCAGTGCGAACTGGCCAGCTTCCTGAATTAGAGAAAGAAGTCATCCTCCTACTTGTTACCTGGCAATGAACCTGATGCACTGATGCAAAGGCCACACCTTCAAATCAGCAATGACCACTAAGGCAGTTTCAATGATCCCGCTTAGAAGTTGACCAGAGTACCAACGCCCAGTCATTCAACTCTATTTGACGTTTGAGTGAGCCCTTCTTTACACATTTCCAGGAAATTTCTAAACCAGCCAAGAGAATAAAAATGTCACCTCTAGAAGTCCAGTCAACGTTCAAGGGCTAGGAAGTGTACAAAAATAGATTTTTCTGTCTCTCTGCTAAGGATGAAGTCTATGAAAAACAGAAAAATAGTTTTTTTCCTGGACATTTAAAAAAGGTACAGCATATAAAAGGGAGCCAATCAATATTATAAGCAAATTTGATCATTCCTGGGAGTGGGATGAGAAATCAGATGAGAATAGTGTGTAACCTTGTTAATCCTGGCACCTTGGCAGATAAGAGAAGTGTGTTTCTTGTCTTTCTGATGGGGTTATTGATTTCTGGGCAGCAACCATGTCTCCATATATGGGAAATTTGGTTATGACTTAAGTTTTTGTGCCTTGAGGTCAGTATCAGGCTGCATTGAAAAATGAAATGGTTACTGTGAAGAAACCAGAAAGATCTGCGGGAGATCCCTAGAAGCATTTCAATCTTTTGTTTTGAGCTTAATGATAGCTAAAGTGGATTTAGATATAATAAAGATATTAAGAAGTTCCTAATTAAACACTGGATGGTAGTATATATTGCAGCTTGCGATCTTGTTATGAAGTCTTGTGACCTTAATGACTAAATTTATATCGACTGCACAGCCAGTCTGATCAACTGGGGTGAAATGGGTGATTGGGTTGCTTATAAAAAAATTTAAGGGAAAAATATTGCTGACTCAGACTGATTGAACAGACCCAAATTACATAAACAGGCTGCTGGAAACAGACGAAAGGACTTTCGTATTCTGGATATTTTTGTTGTATCTTTAGAATTAATATGTTGAAGGATTAGGTTTTGTCTGGAATAATTTTGTGAATAAGATTACTGCATGTGTTAAACAACATACTTTCTTCAAATTTTTGTCTAAAATAGGTGTTACTGTGAGACATTATAGTCAAATTAATTTTCTTGTCTATTGGTTAACATCACAATGTCAAAGAAAAATTTCCATATTCAAAAAGAGACAGTAACATGCAATTTTTTTCCCTAAAAGGATCTATGTTCTATTTTCACTCACAGGAAGTTTATAGTTATAAAAAATAAGCACTTCCCTGTAGGCATGTAACACTGCCCAGAGGCACAGAACTCAATAAGCGAAAGATCATCTTTAAAACCTTTGAAAAAAAAAAAAAAAACCTTTGAAAAGTATAGTGGTGGGCAGACCTGTAGGTCTTAGACAAGTTAATTTGAACAGAACCTCTGTCCAATGACAAAATTTCTTATCTATCAATTTGCTCTTTTCTCAGGTACATAACATTATGCTATCTAGGATGTTGGTCAAATACGTGAAAATACTGAAAAGAGTAAAAAAAAAATCGTATCAATCAGCTCAGGAACCCTCAAATATAACTAGTTGTTCAGCTTAAGTGTATGAAAGTTTTAGGTGGACTGCCTGTAATTTGGGGCTTTAGAAAAGTTCAGAGTAGAACTTTTAAATTGGAGCCAAGCCATCTAGAATAACTCATAGAGGAGTTATTAAATTTTGGTGGGTCTTTTTATTCTAAAAAATAATGAGTTATTGAATCTAGAAAACTCAAAGGACATGGTGCCAGGTTTGTCAGATTTAATGGTTTCAATTAGTTCATAATATAAAGCACCAGTTCCCAAAGTGTGGCCCCTGGGCCAGAAGCAGCAGCAGCAGCATCTCTGGGGAACTTGTTACAGATGCAAATACAGATGCAAATACAGATGCAAATACAGATCCGGCTCCAGATCTCCTGAATTAGAGACTCTGGGAGTGAGAGGGGGCCATTTATGTTTTGAACCAGTTCCGCTGGTGACCTGACGCAGGCTCAAGTCTGAGAACTACAGGTATAAAAGGAGAGCTCGGTGTCCGCAACAAAAACCATGCCTGGAACAGTAACTCTTCCGCACCCATGGCCAAGTGAGAAATAGAATTCTTCAAAGAATACTGGCACTAATTTACTATACAGAACTTTCATGGACAGCCCAATTCCCTTTGTCCTTCCCTGTGTGGGGCCCAGAAGGATCTGAAGTGATATAACTGTCCCACAGATTTAAGGGTGGTAGCTGCTCAAGCCCCAGGGGGTCCACAGGCTATCCTCAGGAAGATCTAGCTGTGAACACCAGCGGCTTTCAGACTCTGAACCACAACTCACAGTACTCACACACACGGGCTCAGGACAGAAACAAAAGCTGCCCTCATTATGATACACTCCGATCATTTTTTTCCTATTATTTCATTTTAAAAATGCTGGTTGTGGCCCACCAAATTATCTTCAATTGGCTTTCCTGTTGGCTCAGACAATAAAGAATCTGTCTGCAATGCAGGAGACCTGGGTTTGATCCCTGGGTTGGTAAGATCCCCTGGAGGAGCTCATGACAACCAACTCCAGTATTCTTGCCTGGAGAATCCCCATGGACAGAGGAGCCTGGGTGGGCTACAGTCCACGGGGTCACAAAGAGTTGGACACAAACTATTTGGGTGTTGCAACCAGAAGAATGAAAAATGCTACCCCAGATCATAAATTTTTCACCCACAGTCTATGGAAAAGGGTAGCTCTTGAAAAATGATCCATAAAGTTTGTATTTATTTACTATATATGCATGCTTCTGTGCAAGGGACTTCCTGGCTTCTGGCAGATTGTCAAACTGAGAGGTAACATTTGAGAAGTGAGGATGCATTGATCTAGGTCCTCCAAGAGGATAGAGGACAGGAATTAGGATTTCTGCTGCTTCATGACTCCTGTGGCTCCCTGAAAACTCCTGTGGATGAGACTGGGGAGGGTCCTCAGACTCATCCTCCACCATCATATAAGACGCAGAGGGGTTCCCTCTGTTGGAGATAGAAAGGATTGATATTTGAGGCGACCAATCTGGTGCTGGAGAACATGCTTAAGAGTCCCTTGGACTGCAAGGAGATCAAATTAGTCCATCCTAAAGGAGATCAACCCTGGATATTCACTGGAAGGACTGATGCTGAAGCTGAAGCTCCAATACTTTGGCCACCTGTTTCATAGAGCTGACAACTCATTAGAAAAGATCCTGATGCTGGGAAAGATTGAAGGCAGGAGGAGAAGGAGCTAACAGAGGATGAGAAGATTACATAGCATCACTGACTCTATGGATACGAGTTTGATCAAACCCCCATAGATGGTGAAGGACTGGGAAGCCTGGCGTGCTGCAGTTCATGGGGTCGCAGAGAGCCAGACAGGACTTAGCGACTGAACAACAGCAATCTACAGAGGAAAGGCAACCCCGGACAGTGCCGCCATCCCTCCTGGGGCCATGCTTCAGGATTTGTGCAAAGGGCAGCAGGATCAAGACCATCCAATCAAGCTCAAGTCCCTGTTTGTCTTCTATGTTCAGAGATTAGTGGTTGCTCAAGGCTAGATTTCTCCACTGCAGTTGCTGGAAGTTAGGGCTTTGGTCAGCAGACCTGCTAGGATTAGTAATAAAAACGTGACACAAGATTTTCCCCACTGTGGTCAGTGAGATGTGATCTAGATACCAACAAGGCTGATACTGGGTCAACAGGCGCCTGGATGTCTTTGGAAAGTCAAAGTGTTTGTTTTTCAGTTGTGTCCAACACTGTGCGACCCCAGTGGTCTGTAGCCCACCAGGCTCCTCTGTCCATGGGATTCTCCAGGCAAGAATACTGGAGTGGGCTGCCATTTCATACTCCAGGGGATCCTCCCAATCCAGGAACTGAACCTGGATCTCTTGTACTACAGGCAGATTCTTTACCATATGAGCCACCAGGGAAGCCCTGGTTGTTAAAATATTGAAATATTTCTGTACTTTTAGTAAAGAATAGCTGCTCCGGCCCCACCCCCAAAGTCACCATGACCCCATCCTGGGCCCACCAGGATGTCTCTGGGGCCCAGTGGCTGAAAGGTTAATGCCTGATATTCTGACTGGTTGGTACATCAGGTCTTAACTATTTTCACTATTACTTGGACACCAAACACAGCTCCCACGGCACTGTTACCGGGTGACATTCACTTTAACTTCCCCGCTGGAAGGAATACAACGGCAGAGGCGTGTGCCGGCCTCACCTTGAAACTGGGCGACCTGCTGCACTGGGTAGGGATTCCGCTGCTGCTGCTGCAGGTGCTGCCGGGGCAAGTGCGGCTGCTGCAGCTGCTGAAACGACAGAAAGCAAGGAGGGCCAGGAGGTGAGACGGGAGAGACCGTGCACATAAATACCCCAGCCGTCCTGAGGAAGGCAGCTTTCACAAACTGAACGTTGTATGGAAGAATAGCACACATATAGGTAAGCACCCAGGCATGACCCGTACACAGTGTGAGGGATATTCCCAAATGGACACACTTTTGGGAACCAGCCTCTGGATCAAGACACAAATGTTGCCAGGAGCCCCTCCTGTCCCTTCCCCGTCACTACCCTTCTTCCCCTGACCCCTGGGGAGTACCCCCAACCCAACTCTATATTAGTTACGTCAGCTTCTGTACTTCATAGAAGTGGGTTTAGACATGGTATTTAAGTTTGGCTTTTGTGTCTGTCTTTTTGCATTTGTTGCATTTTCGAGCTTCATCCAGGTTGATGCCTGCAGTGTGGATGGTTCGTTCTCACTGTTGAGTAGTATTCCCCCCCAAAGAACATACCTCCGTGGCTTTATCTATGCTGCAAGGGATGGCTATTTAGGGTGTTTCCGATTTTTGGCTGTCAGAGCCACCTCTTCCACCAACATCCTTCGTGAACCTCTGTTGTATGTCTGCCATGTGGTCTTGCTGGCTTAAAAGGGATGTGTAGTCACCGAGACAGTTTTTTAAAAAAATAATTTTACTTATTTTTGGTGGTGCTTGGTTGCTGTTGCTGCATTGGCTTTTCTCGAGTTTCGGTGAGCGGGCTCCTCGTGGCAGCGGTTTCTCTTGTTGCAGAGCATGGGCTCTCGGGCAAGAGGGCTTCAGCAGCTGCAGCACACGGGCACATGAGTTGCGGTTCCTAGGCTCTAGGGCACAGGTTTCGTAACGCACGGGCTTAGTTGCTCCATGGCATGTGGGTCTTCCCAGACCAGGGATCAAACCCATGTCTCCTGCATTGGCAGGCAGAGTCTTTACCACTGAGCCACCAGGAAGCCCAGGGAGGCAGTTCTGACTTTGCTTTTCCAGTATCAGCTGCATGTCTTTCTCAGTATCGGGACCGAACTCAGACAGACAAGCACCTAATTTTTAATGACCTAAAATAGATGCTTCGGGTATAAGAAGATGGAATTCTCAGGGACCATTTTAAAAAAGCCTCATTTTAGTCCCAGGGTGTCACACTGCCTGCAAAATACATCTCTGCGAGTCAAAAATACAGCATCTATTGCCTTGAGGGAACCGTGTGGGATTCCACATACACCAGGAACCATGAGGTCTGTGTTTTAGTTTTTCTTCTTCCAGTCTCTGGGCTTCTGCACTGCCGGTGCTGTTACCAATATACTGGGGAGGCTACTATGTATCATTATCATGCTGAATGTGAAAAGGAAGAGAAAATAAGAATGAGGTGGAAGGAGCAAAGAAAGGGATTTTCATTCTGGGTCTAATGTCAAGTAGCTGGGTGACCTTCCGGGTGTCATTTGACTTCCTCGGCAGCTGTGGAATATTCATTAAGCACCTTTCATCTGCAAGGGCTAGAAAAACAAATAACCAGGGTTCTGCTCTTCAGAATGTTCATTATAAAAATAACACACATTGACCACTTCTTAACACATGTGTTTATTTCTATTTTTTTTCTCTTGTTTTTGTTCCTGGGCAGCTCTATAATTTTCTTTTTCTTTCTTTCTTTTTTTGTTTTCTTTTTTCTCTTCTCGTTGACAAGGCCAGCCAGCACTCTGGCAACTGAAGAAAAGAACGGCCTCTGTTCACCCTATCCTGTAGGGACTACCATGGTGTTTTGCTGTTGAAATGAATTAATTGTGTAGACACAGCATAGACAAGAAACCATGCTAATCTTTTAGGCAGCAATCTAAGAACATTACTGAAAGTAAGCTGAGCATTTAAAAGCTTCTCTGAAGCCTAACTTGCCATATTATCTAAGAATTTTAGTGTCCTACCTACAAATGGGTATAAACCCTGAAGGAGTCTGGGGTAGTGGGCTTGGGTCAGGAATCAGGGGGTCCAAGGTGCCAGTCTAGCCTCTGGCTCTCGCTAGCTCTGTGATCTCTAAAAAAAAATCTTGTCAGCTCCCCTGCCTCAGTTTTCCTCATGTGTAAAATAAAGAGACTTCATGATTAACATTTTTTTCAGATCTAAAATTCCAGGATCCACTGAACCTTAGTGAACGGATGGCAGCTGACACGCTCTGTGAGCTGAAAAAAATGCATTAAATGTGAATTCACACCTGGTTTCTACTTGCTCTGCTCTGATTTCTAAGTCCACTGAGAACCATCTGAATGTTCCCAAAGATATGCCAGATTCCCAATCTTTCTGTTTTCCCTTCCATGTCCTTTTGGGGAAACCCATGTGTTCCCAGTACGCTGTTGGCAAAATTGAAACTGTTAAGATACTTTCTCTGCTGCTGCAAGGACCAAGAAAATCAGCTTGGCGTTGATATGGCCACATTCATCCTCAAGAGTGTAGACCCCCAGGGAGCTGCATCGATAAGGACTGTCCCCAGGGGCAGGTGGCATGCTCCATCCCTCTGCCCCAGTTCTGGCCGGTCCCACCCGACGGCTGGCGCCTGTGGCTGCAGCTCTGACATCACACTCCGTGACACCAGGGTCATGCGACAGAGCTGCACCTTGTGCTGTTTCCTAAGGATTTTACACACGTGCCTCAGGAGAACATCAGGAAGAAGGCTGGGAAATAGGAAAATCTATTCGGCAGATGAGAGAGGTAAAGCGGTTTTTTTCCAGATTCATACCACAAGCAAGAGATGTGGCCCAGAGTAAACTGTTCTTTTCCTGGCCCCTCTTCAGCTCTTGGTACACACAGCTCTCTTCTTTTTTTTCTTGCCGTTTCCCATTCCCAGCTTTTCTGAGGAGCCCTGTGTCTGTCTTCCGCGTCCTGGGTTCTGAAGGGTCCCGCACTGTCTGGCCCCGTGGTCTGTGGGCACCATCCTTGGTGGTTCTCCTTCCTTCCACCTCCTTCCTCATCCCTGGGCTTGGCTGGTCTCACTGAGCAGGGACACCCCTGGACTGGCACAGCCAAATCTGGCCTGGTTACCCCGACTCCCCTTTGTGCCATGGTCATAGCACACCCATCCAAGACAATCACTTAAAGGACCAGGCACATCGGACACTTCCTAGGCTTGGCTAGGGGAGGATTTGCAAAGCCCAGCTTCCCCGCGTTCCCCTCGGGAGCCCCATTTATCACTGTCTGAGAGACATGAGTGGGGTTTCTTGTCACACACCTTACGCAGGGTGAGAGGGACAGAGGTTTGTTTGTATAAGAGCTGCCAGGCGGCTGACTGACCTTGGTAAAAAGGGAGATAATTACACAGCTGTTCAAGAACAAAAGCGAAAAAGGGAAGCTAAGTGAACTGTGCAATTTTTCTGTTTGCGGGGGGATGACTGGTGTTACTTTGAACGCTGCTCTTGGTCACTAAGGACCTCAAGTGCCTCTGGTCCTACACAGCATCTTGTATAGAAAGGGTGGGGTGGAGGATCCTTGATAAATGTCCAAAATTCGGATCCTATTAGGAACATTCTAGAAGGGTAACTGCGGACCTTGAGCCTTAGACGGCTCCTATAACAGGAGGGCAAGATGCATGGGTCAGACCCCCCACTGGAGCCATCTAGGGACGGCCTAGATGGAAGACCTCAGGCCTCTCTCAGGATAACATGAAATAAGGCAAGGGCCTCTTAAAAAACAAGACACTGACACTCAGAGGAGCAGCCCACAGCAAGGCTTCCTTTCAAAGCCGGAGGAATTATGTGTCAACGGTGGTCAAACACGCCTCAGGTAAAGCTTTCTCTGTGTTAGGCCTTTAACTCAAAGATTTCCTGAGCTGTTTTCAAAGCTGCTGGGAATTTTTCTCAAGTTTGCACCCTTTCTGTGACCCGGAGTTCAGGTTTCCAAGTAGTTCTGTGGGCCCTATTATTCTGCAATTGTTCCCGTTCCATTGTTCATGACCAACGCTGTGAGAATTCTTCTCAATCCCCCCTTCCGACTCTTTCCTCCAAGAAACAAAGTTCTCTGAATTATTTTCTTTTTTCTTCCCGCTGGGAATATCAGAATTTATGAAGAATGTAAGCCAGCTCCCTTCCACCCCCGCCACCCCCATGCTGATTCCACAGACCCCCGGTACCAGAAGCCAGAAGCAAAAAGCCAGACTTGAAGACAGGTCTCTGGCAAGGGGGTCTTCAAATGCATGGCTGAAGCCTGTCTTTTCAGAACAAACCAATTCATTTTAAGAAAAAGCCTAACTAATGGAAAGGTCTAAATTCTGCAGGCTCTTCTGTAGTCTCGGGAAGTGCTGGCCAGCGACTTTCTGGATGAAGGACGAGACCTGAGACTCGCTCACAGACACCAGTCCCCGGAAGAAATGTTTGCGAATCGCATGAAGCCCACCATGGGCATGAGTTACCTGCTCCGTAAGAATCTGCTGTTGCTGCTGCTGCTGCTGCTGCCTCTGTTCCCGCAGGAACTGTTGTTTCTGCTGCTCCATCAGCTGGGCCCGCTGGTCAATGAGCATCTGCTTCATGAGGACTGTCTGGGGCTGGCTGCCCAGGAAGCCTGGCCCCGCGGGCCCTGCTCCAGAGACCATGCCCCCTGAGCCCGGGGGCACGGAGGACTGCATGGGGCCCGTGGTTCGGGGAAGCCCCACTGGGTGCTGCTCCTGGGAGAACAGGAAGAGAAGGGAAGAGAAGAGAGGAAAGACGTGAAGGTGGTGACTTCACATCTGAACGAAAGCACAGGCGGATGGGGCATGGGGTATTCCCTCCCTACAGGACCCCCAGTGGCACACATTACATTTCCATAAAGAGAACACAGTGGTCCTCCAAGCTCTTAACACAGTGGGGCTGCAGAAGCTATAGGGGGCCGGTAATGGCTCTGCGGAATCTGAGGCCAGGTCCAGTCTGTTTCTGATGTTGTTGTTGTTTAGTCACTAAGTCGTGTCAATTGTTGCGACCCCAGGGACGGTAGCCCTCCAGGCTCCTCCGTCCATGGGATTTTCCAGGCAAGAATACTGGAGTGGGGTGCCATTTCCTACTCCATGGGATCTTCCCAACTGGGGAATGGGACCCATGTTTCTTAAATCTCCTGCATTGCAGGCGGATTCTTTACCACTGGGCCACCTGGGAAGCCCCTGTTTCTGATAGGATTGGCTAAAGAATAAGAATTGCATTTTCAGCTCACCATCGGTGTTCCTCCAAAGGAAAGGGAATAAGCCCTCAGGTGGGGCTCATTTTCAGTCTGATATGAGGCAGCCTGATCGCCTCTTCATCCTCACTGCCTGCCTGGCCAAAATGGGCTACTTAGTAGGAGAGACATTTATAGAATGATGCTGGAATTGATTAATCAGCAGAACTGCTATTTGATGAAATTCTAATTAATTGTGACATTTGAAAACTCTGACATATGAAAAAAAAAAAAAAAAGAAAATCCTGCTAGTGAGAATTGTTGATGGGAAGAATTAGGAATGTGTTACACTGACCAATGGCAACCCACTCCAGTCTCTCTTGCCTGGAAAATCGCATGGATGGAGGAGCCTGGTAGGCTACAGTCCGTGGGGTCGCTAAGAGTCGGACACGACCGTGACTTCACTTCACACTGACCAAAGATACGGAATCTCCTAACATCTTTAAAAACAGAATTGAGTCTCAGGTGTCTGAGATAATTTAAATGCTGGGGGTTGAACTGGGTACCTAGATTCAATAATTATGTCAGTCAGTCAAAGGATGTCAGCTTTTAAGGACCAGTCCTTAAGGAAAAGGAGGTAGGGAACTCCTCATTCAGAGCCCAGGCGACTCCTCCGAGGCTGTGCTCAGAGGTGAAGCGACAACCCAACGGTGTAGACCTTTGGGAACAAACAACTGATGGGAAAAGAAGCTGTGTGGCCATAAGACGTAGTTTCCTGATGCTTCCTTTCCTGTTCATTCTACCAAGCACACCTCATAATGGCAAAGTATTATCTGATCATTCCGCAGAAAGATTCCCTTTAATTCATTCAAGTTTCAAGTAATTAATCTGAGCAAAGAGAAGCTGCTATCTGAAGTATACAAATTACATGGATACATGGATAAGGACATACACAGTCATTTTGTGAGGGACAGTTATGAGACTGAGATCATGAGAGACAAATGTGAATAAATCTACATCAAAATTTTTTCAGGCAGTTAGACTGGATTTTTAAGAAAGATTGTAAGATAGATTGATTGTAAAAGATAGACTGTAAAATCTATGAAATCAGTTTCTACTGGTTATTAGTCTCAGTTATACGTGGTGAAGGAAATTAAGGTTATAAAGATGTAGACACAAAAGTGTCTTCAATGGATGTTTAGTAGTTATCAAATTTTATATATTATTTCTATTTGCCATGGTATTTCCATCAGTATTAATGCATTCCTTCATTAACGCATTCAACAAGCCTGCTTTGTGAACAACATGAATTTTATCTGCCTCTTTTGAGCCATCCTAAATGAAAAACATGCAGTCAAACTGGATTTTAATATTTGTCCTCTTTTCACTTTTCTTCCTCTTCAGTGTCAATACACTCAACCCTGAGGGGAGTTTCCTCTCAAAACATAGAATGGTGTTGGATCTTCTTCCCTCCCTCCAGTACCCAAACAAAACAAAACAAGCAACAAAAAAACAAACAAAAACCCACCACTCCTCTCATCCAGGTAACAACAGCTCGAGAAGCTAAACTAACTAACAATAGAGTTGCCATATGATCAAGCCATCCCACTCCTGGACATATACCCAGATAAAACTGTAATTTGAAAAGATCCATGCAACCCTGTGATCACAGCAGCACTATTCACAATAACCAAGACGTGGAAACAACCTAAATCTAAACAACTTAAATTGACAGATGCATGGATAAGCATGTGGTACACATATATGCAATAGAATACAGCTCAGTGACAAAAAGGACTGAAATATTGCCCCTGTGGCAGCATGGATGGACCTAGCGATTATCATACTAAGTAAGTCAGGCAGAGAAGGACAAGTACCATGTGTTATCACTTATATGTAGAATCTAAAATATGACATAGATAAATACATTTATGAAACAAAAACAGATTTACAGATATAGAGAACAGGCTTTTGGTTGCCAAGGGAAGAGTGGCTGAGGAGGGAGGGACTGGGCGTCTGGGATTAGCAGATGCAAACTATCATATATAGGACGGATAAACATATATATGGATAAAGTCCTACTGTATAGCACAGGGAACTATATATAATACCCTGCGACAGACCATAATGGAAAAGAATATGAAAAGAATGTGCGTATATATATATATATATACCAAAGTCACTTTACTGTACAGCAGAAATGAAACACAACAATGTAAATCAACTATACTTTTATAAAATTTAAAAAAAATATTTTTAAAAAAGCTCTGGTTAGTGTGGTGGCCCAGGCCACACAGTTAGTAAATGGAAGAATCAGCATTCACAGAACTGAAACACTGATTCTGAGACTACATTCAGTATTCTTTCCATAAGCACAGGTTTTTTTCTGGACTATAGGTACATGGTGCCAAGAGTGAACCTAAGAATTGCTTGTAAACTAAATATACAGTATCTGTCCCACAAATACACTGTGTTCTAGTTTTCAAATGTAAGTGTGATGTTGCTGAAGTTGAAACTTATTGTCCTTGTGTATTTTCTCTGTACATAGACAATGAAAAGTAGAGAGTTATGAAATATTTATGTTAATAAAAATACTGCATATTCAATAATGCCTAGAACTTTATGCTACCAAAAAGTTTACTTTAAGACTAATCCCTGCAGAGGTCAAGATATTTCACTCTTCTTTTCCCCCTAAACTTTAAACTTGCTGCCTGTTTTCCAAACCCTTTCTTCCAGTGGGATAAAGCTGTTTCTTGCCACCTTTGGAGACAAATGGCCAACTGACTTAACACTTTAACAAAGGAATTCACACAACAGACAGTTAACCAATCAGCGAAAATACAGATACACAGCTTTTTTTTTTTTCTGTGTATTTCAGCATATTTGAAACCTCCAGTTTTGATAAGGAGGAGACAGTGGGAAAAGAAAATGAGACCCAAGGGGAGATCAAGTTTTCTTCAGCTTGGTTTTATGAGAGGTCTGGTGTGGGCTGGCCCCGTTTATCTTTGTGCACTCTGAGATATTCTTGTCCTATGAGATCAGCCCACAAGTACCTGGTGAGCTTGCCCAGAAGTGGTAAGTAGTGATAAGTTGCTTTCCCAGCCTTCTCTCCACCCAGAAAGAAAGGGAGAAGCAAATAAGGTGAGGATGTAGATTCATCTCAGCACTTCTCATCCCTGTCTTCCTAGACCAAAAATAAATATAGGTATCACCCACATTTCAAAAGCTCACTTTACGCCACTTAGCTTTTACAGAAGACCTACACTGGTACCTGGTTTTGCTAACCAGGAGACATCTGAAGAAGATTTTAGAGTTTATAGAAAAAGGTGAAAATCTAAAACACCATCAGAGTTTATTTTGCGGGGAGTGATTATAGAGACAGCAGGCACCCCCAGCTGTGAGAGGGGCACCACCAAGCCCCTCCCCCAGGAACTACACTCAGCATTTCAGCGGCGAGTTGCCACAGCTTTGAACTCTGTGAGCATCTGTGTTTTATCTCTATTTATTCTGCACACTCTTGGCAAGGTGTGTCGTAAGGTGTTTGCTTACTCACTGCAGGCCATTTCGGCTTAGGAAAGATTTCACAGCAACGCTCTACTTTCAGATGGGGCTGGGGGTGGCGCTGTACTTCAAAAGCACAGTGGGAAAAACCCTTCCCAAAGGGAAAGTTCGGTATTACCTCCCAGGATTAAGTATTTCCCCAAATGATTCCCTCTCAAAGATTTTGCCTTCAGGTTTCTCACTGAAGACCTGAAGACCGATTTCCCTGCAGTGACTCCAACGGAACCCGGAGAGGCAGGAGGGCCATGTGCATTTTTAAAGGGCTCCCTTCCAGAGGAAACGTCTGTGAGCCTAGGTTGACACACCTCTCCCAACCAGTTCTGCTGCGTTCAGCAGTGGGTGAGTGACGCTAGGGCCCCAGCCTTAGGTGTGCATGCCAAGTGTGAAGACACACCAAGTGACTCCCTTACAAATTGAGCTGGCTGAGGCCATTAGCTGTTTCACTTGACATGGTGGCTTTTAACCTCCAGCCTAAGAGTTCTTAATGAGCAAGAGTCTGTCGAATTTCAGGATTTCAAGCCACAGCTCTTGTTTCTAAGGAGGACACACACTGTGTGTGCAATTAGAGAAAACCAGGCTGAGCTTTCGTCACCAGAAATGTAATGCCTTGAAGCCAAATGATGCAGTATTTTTAGTTTTAATTACTAGCTTGTTCTCCACTCCATCCCCTGCCCAACGACCTCCCTTGCCTTCCACCCAGAATCTTAATTCCATCTCTTCCTCTCAGAAATCCAATTGACTACATAGATCTTCATTACTTCCCAAAGCTCTCACTCTTCAGTAAAATACAGGAGGGGGGGGGGCGCATCAAAACCAATGAATATATTTTACGTATCTTCTCCTCCAGGGAAAAAAATCTTAGCAATTTTCTATGGGCTGGAGAGAGAGGTAGGAGGTATAAAAAACACCCTACCTCCCCCCAAAGAGGCCGTTTTCTACTTCAAAAAACAGCTGTGGTAAAAATATCTCTTAAGA